TTCTGGCTCTTCTGAAGAAACGGTTTGGGAGTGTGAAAAACAGCTCTGCCCAGATAGTTGGTCTCATTAAAATCTAAAAAGTCCCCAATGTGGATTTCAAATGTCTGAAACACTTCCATGACCTATTTCTTGATCTCAGGGAAATTCTTTACACTTACTTAATGAACAGCGCTAGATCTGTGGCCAAAATAGCTTGCTTGATGATTTTCAATGTGGTCTTATATTCTTCAATGGAAAGCCCACTGAGGATCTGATTCCCCTTCATGGAAAAAAGAGAACCGTCGTTAGCACTCCACCTGCAGAAGCAGCTGACACGTTGCCCAAAGTGGCAATAGTAAGCTGAGGAGAACAAAACCTAGAAATACTGCCACCTGACTTGAACACGTGCCCAGTATTCTAAACTCATGACCACAGAGGACACCTGCATCCAGCAAAATAAATGCCATGACACGTTTTCCATCTATGCCCCCCGAGTCCTATACCTTGTGACAGAAGAGAAGGCAGCTTCATCATAGTGGAACAGCCAATGGATGCATGTTTGCGCTACAGGTTAGGGGTTGGGTTGCGAACAGCAATGCTGGTGGTTCAAACCCCCCAGCCCCTCCTAGGGAGAAAGATGAGGCTGTCTGCTTTTGTAAAGATGGACAGTCTTGGAAACCCCATTCAGGGCAAATCAAATGACTGGCAGTAGGTTGGTTGGTTTGGTGGGGTGTGTCTCAGAAACTCTACACAGGTTGACACAGGTCGGAATGAATTTGACGAAGGTGGCTGGGTTTTGGATACTCCCAAGGCTTTATCCAGAGACCTAAAATGTTTGTTTCCTTTGGGCCGGTTTAATTGCGATGTTGTCACAGCAAGTACAACTCTTAAAAACCAAAGTCCTAGTACTGGACATGAAAAGCAGAGTGCTGAACTTTTTAAACAACCGATTATTAAAAAGTTATTTCTCTATGGCTTTTGTAATAAGTAATGACATTTTAATATAATTGTAACCTGATCAATATTGAGAATGGCGTGCATTCCTGAGGAACTTGTCACTATAGAGAGACAGTGGACACTAGCCAAAGGCGTACTTACTGGTGGAATAAAGAAAACATGGGTTGAAACATATTCATAAAAAAAGCCAAAAACAAATCTTGCCATTGAGTGGATTCTGACTCACAGTAACCACACTGGACCGAGCAGAACAGGGTTCCCAAGGCTGTCAATCTTTAAGGACACAGACAGTCACATCTACCTCCTATGGAGTGTCTGGTGGGTTTGAACCACTCACCTTTTGGGTAAGCAGCCCATAGCTTCAACTACTACATCACCACGGCTCTGGAAACATCTAAGAAGAACACTTAATAGGTGGCCTAGTCACAAAAATTCTTCCCTGTAAGTAAACACATTATCAGCTGCCACAGCATGGATTCTGATGTATGGCACCCCCATGTGTGCCAGCATGGAATTTCATGCCACAGGGTTTTCAAACTACCCCTGGTGATGTAGTAGGGTTATGCGTTGGGCTGTTAATCACAAGGCCATCAGTTCGAAACCACCAGTCGCTCCACCAAAGACAGGGCTTTCTACTCTCGTAAAGATTTACTGTCTCAGAAACCGGTAGGGGCGGTTCTACTCTGTCCTGTAGCATTGTCATGACTCGGAATTGATTGGATGGCAGTGAATTTTAGTTTCTGGCATATTTTTATAACCAGATCATCAGGCCTTTCTTCTGAGGAACCACTGGGTCGACTGGAATTGCTAACTTTCTGGTTAGCAGCCGAACACCTGGACTGTTTGTACCACCCAAGGGCTCTCAGTTCAACACAGGGCTCTATGATGTTGACCAGGGCAAAGCACACACTTTGGGGCCCAAGAGTATGAAGAAGCCATCGGGACACTGAGTCCGGTATGCATTTGAAATCTCGGGCTGGGGAAAAGAAGAGGCCAGGGAACGGAAGCTGTCATGAGTCCAGGGGAACTACAGTGTGAGCTTGGTCGTGGCCCAAGTACTTGGTCAGAGGTTTCACTAGTTGTGTGATTGAGGCATATATCTAAGTCCAACCCCAAACATAATTTTTACATATGAAATCATTTTGCGTTGTAGACTAACCATTCAGAAAATACCTTCTGGTAAGTAGCAGAAGATAAAACAGTTCATGTGGCAATGGATTTGTCTCTTGGTGGTAAACTCTTACTTCCTCCCGCAATGTGTAGACCGTCATTTCGTGTGTAATGGTGCTTAGAAGCACAGAAAACATAGATGGGTCTTATAATTTGAGCTCAGTCATATTTACCAGCCAAATTCCTTGTATGCTCCGTAATAACACATTGCATAATAAATTATGCAATAATAGGCAGCTACGATTAACATATCATTACATCTACATTTTTTTGGGGGGGAAAAGTTAGCATATTTTCTTTCTTTAAAACCCCAAATTTGTAACAAGACACTCTGCCACCAGGGAGCTGTAAGAGACTAAAACAAGCAATGTGGAGCTGAGCAGGGATGGGAAAGACACATGGCGCTCTCCAAGGAAGCAGCCGGGAGAAGCCTTCCTGCGGAGCGGCAGAGAGCCAGCACTCTGAATTCAGACTTCTACGCTCTTAACTTGGAGAAAGTAATTTCCGCGAAAGCCATCCACTTGCCTTTCTGTTATAGGCGCACTAGATAACAGACAAGCACACGCACAGCAAATCTAGATGTGCCTGCTGTAAAACAACATGTCCATGCCTGAAAAGTCTCAGTTCTGAAGGATATTAATGATGCACAAAAAAACAAAGAGTGGAAAAGCTGGTCCGTGTGGACAGGGACCATGTGGATAGAACTTCATCTCAGAGAGAGCAGACTTGCTACTAAGCTGGTCCCTGAAGGCAGAGACATTTGCTAGGAGCCTGGAGAAGTTCAAAGCAGGGCAGAGGGTCATATGCACAAGTGCCCATATTCCACTGCTGCTGTGGGGGGCCATCAGATGGTCCTGGCTTGCAGTGATTCTGTGTACAATAGGGTGAAAACGCTCACACTTGCGGTGCCCTTCCTTCCTATAATCACGGAGACCTCTATTCCCATTGCTGCAGCCCCTGTGCCAGTCCAGCTCTCCCTGAAGGCCTGCCCCCTTTTCACGATCCTCTAATTTATCGAGCATGATGCCCGTCTGCAGGGACTAGACCTCCTGATAAAATGTCCTAAGTACGTGAGGAGTCGAGGCATCCTTGTTTTTAAGGAGGGTTCTGGCTGTACTTCCAAGACAGATGTAGTCATTCTTCTTGTGGTCTATGGTATACTCAGTATTCTTCTCCAACACTATAAGTCAAAGACATCCATTTTTCTTTGGCTTTCCTTATTTATTGCCCAGTTTATGCATCCATATAAGGTGACTGAAAATACTGGGGCTTGGGTTAGTCGCACCCTAGTCTTTAACGTGAAATCTGTGCTTTTGAACAGTCTGAAGAGATCTTTTCCAGTAAACGTACCCAGTGTGTTATGTCTTTCAATTTCTCAACTGCTGCTTCCATGAGCTCTAATTGTGATACACGTAAAGTGAAACCAGTGAAAATTTCAATGTGCTTCATGATCATGTTTGATATTGCTCTAATGGTGAGAATTTTTGTTTTCTTCACATTGAGCTGTAGTCCGCACTGAAGGCTGTCGTCTTTAGTCCTCATCAGCAAGTGCATCAAGTCCTCCTTCCTTCCAGCAAGCAAAGCTGTGTCAGCTGCATATTTCACATAGCTAATGAGTCCGCTTCCAGTCCTGATGGTAAATCCTTCACCTAGTCCAGCTACTCAGATTATCTGCTCAGCATTCAGACTGAATAAGTATGGTAAAAAGATACTGCCCTTAGCCACACCTTTCCTGATTTTAAACATGCAGTGTCCTCTGTTCTGTTAAAGCAGTTGTCTGTGTACAGTTTGCGCATGAGCACAAGAGTTCTGGAATTTACGTTGTTATAATTTTAACCACAATTTGTTATAACTCACAAGGTGGAATGCCTTTGCATAGTCAATAAACCCCAGGCCAATATCTTTCTGGTATTCACTGTCTTCAACCAAGAGGGGCAGGCATCTCATAGGATAGGAGACCAGAAGTCCAAAGTCAGAGCACTGACCCTAGAGGAAGCGTTTCTTTCTCTGTTGGATCCTTTGCTTCTGCTTGCTGGTTTTCCTTCAATCCCTTTTCCATCTCAAAAGAGATCCACTCACAATACACCCTTACCTTCATCCTGCCTCATCAGTGTAACAAACACTACCAGATGGGATTAGAACCACAGGCATACAAGTTACGATTTACATGTTGGTTTTTTTTTGGGGGGGGAGGGGCGGGGCATAATTCAGTCCGTAACACCAGGCAACATTTGGTCATTCTGGTTAGGTCAGGCAGCGAGGATCTTCAGTGTTTTGGCTTTGCCTTCCTTACCCAAAAAGGGATAAAGTATGTTCGGAATTTATGATGCTGGGAACATATCCAAAACCTGAAAATACCACGGAGAGTCTCGGGCTCTGCTCGAGCATCAGGAGGCACTCACTGGGCTGTTGAGGATCATCAGGCACTGGTCGAAGTGGTGGTGCTCCATGATGGAATGGCAGTAGAGTTGCGCCAGGGGGTGTTCGCTTCTGAAACATATCAAGAAACATAATTCCCCCCCATAGAAGTCAGGGTATCAATAGAGGTTTCATATTGTGAGCCTCAAAGACAGTCTATAGAATTAGTAACATTTACAATCTCTCTGTGTTGAAAAAAGGAAAACGTGAGTTTATGTCTGGAAAATAATGAATACAATCAAACAGCAAATGCCCACATGACTGTTGCTAGTTCGACAGAACAATTCCATTTGTTTTGTGCTTTGATTCACTAAACTAAAAGTAAGGAAGAGAGAAAGAGAATTTCCCTAAGCAATAGAGCAAAACAAAGCGGAAATCTGATGAAATAGTTCTGCAAATTATATTTCTCAATTTCAAAATGAAAACTGACTTTAAAATGGAAACAAATTCACATGTCCATTTCTCCTTTAAAATATTACCAAGGTTCCACCCATTAAAACAGGTGGCACACAATATTAAGCTCTGGACTGGAATGGTTAAAACCTTATTGTTTGATCTCCCTTTTGATACACTTTGTGCTTGACCTGGTTTTTAATATTTTCTGGTGTTTTCTTTTTCATATTGGGGTTTATCTCGGTTGTATTTTGTCATTGCTGGTAGCCTTCTTAAATCTGTTATGTATTTTTCTATGTTTTTCGTTATGGACTGGGTAGCAATAGATCCACTAACTACAACAAGGCTCCTGAGGGGGACAGTAGGGGGAGCTGTAGGGGAGAGCTGAGATCAAGGAGTTAAAAAAGGAAGAAAATGTTTTGAAACTGATGGTGGCAGCAATTATACAACACCACATGATATTAGCTCCTAATGTAAAATGGTTTTGGGGAAAAAATGTTAAGCTCTCAATTCCTAATAAAAAAATTGGGAGTTCAAATCCACCCAGAGATATTTTGGAAGAAAGGAGGGTGCTGCTGATCTGCTTTTGAAATGTCACAGGCTCGACCACTCCAGAACTACAGCTCTACTCTGAAATGCAGGGAGACTGAGCCAGAACCAACACAGTGACACGTCGTTTCCTTGTTTGTTCCTATGAGAATAGAACTGCATGTGATGGGTTTCAGTGAGGTGCTTGATGGCAGGGGAGGGGATGGGAGCAGTCACAGCACATGCCAACTTTGACAAAGGAGGCAGAGAGATGGAGGAGTCAGGGAGAGGGTTGGTCTCCATTCACCACACTTATTCAAGCTGTTCGTGGAGCAAATCATGCGGGAAGCTGGGCATCAAGAGCAGCACAACACAGCCCCAGGACTGCGCAGCCCGTACCCAGACCAGGAGCGAGCTGTTCAAACAGAACAGAGGAGACTGCACGTTTCCAATCAGGAGAGGCGTGCATCTGAGGGTTGTATGTCTTCCCCATGCTTGTTCCTTCTGTATGCTGTGAGGCTGGACAATGTGAGGAAGGACCAGGACCCGGCAGTGCTCTGTCCCACTGTCCATAGGGCTGACAGGAATCGGAAACAACTCAAAGGCACCGAAAAACCATTTGCAGGCAAGAAGCAGGCTTTGCACTACAGTCCTTTTACAAGTTATGCCTGAGCATAACGTGTAACATAGCAGCAGGCCTGCAGGAAGGCTTATGACCAACCTGCAGTCTGCAGACGACACAACCTTGCTGATGGCCAGGAGGGCTTGAGGCACTTGCTGATCAAAAGATCTCTGCCTGCAGGACGGATTACAACTACATATAAAGAAAATAGAAATCTTCACAACTGGACCAATGAGCAAGAGCAAAGTAAATGCAGCAAGACTGACGTTGTCAAAGGAATCATTTTGTTTGGATCCACAATCAACACTCATAGAAGCAGCAGTCAAGAGACAACACAGCACCCTGCACTGGACAAATCTGCTGCACAAGGCCTCTGTAAGGTGCGAAAGAGCAAGGGTGTCACTTTGGAGGCCAAGTAAAGATGCTACTGTAAAGCTAATGAGCCCCAGACTCAGGCCAGAGTATTTCCAACTGCCTCGTATGCACGTGGAAGCTGGACAATGAATAAGGAAGGCAGAAACGCAGCTGATGCATTTTTAACGGTGGCATTTTCCATGGACTACCGGGGACAAACCCATCTGTCCTGGAAGAAATACAGCCAAACGCTCCTTAGAAGCAAGAACAGCTAGACTGTGTCATGTCGTTTGGACAAGCCATCACGAGGGACTAGTCTCTGGATAAAGACAGCACGCTTGGTAAGGTAGGTCAGCTGAGCAAGGAAGACCCTCCAGGAGGCAGGCTGACACGGTGGCTGCGACCAAGGACTCAAGGTCAGCAGCCCCCGTGAGGACGGCGCGGGGTCTGACAGGGTTCCCTTCTGTTGGGTACAGAAACCGGCTCACTGGCACCAAAGGTCAACCAATGGGTCCCACTCCGCACTTCGCGCTGCACGCTGGGAAACCAAGGGATGAAAGAACACAAGCAGATCTATGAAAAAGATGAATTTGCTGGAAATAGGGCTAGAGGTGGAGGTGTTACTTAAGGGGACTTCTGGGAGGCATCTACGGGTAGGAGACTAGGGTGGTGGCAGCAGACGTGATGAGAAGCAGTTACCTTATAGCTACGGAAGTAGACCGATAGAGTGGCCAAGGTATTCTGATATGGGGACCCAGGATGGATAGGGAGATGAAGAGAACAATATGAAGATTAAGTTTCTGCCTTGGGCAGGTAGGGGGATGCTAGTCTCATTTACTGACAAGGGGAAGAGGGAGATGATTAGGGCTGGGGGAAGAAAGGGAGCAATGACGAGAGTCAGAAGTATTGATTCTACAATGATTTTGATCACCCAAGTGATCACCAGGTGGATATATATGCTGAACACAGGTCTGGACTTGGGAAAAAAAGGACGTAGGAGACATCAATATACAGATGGTATTCCAGCAATGGGAGATGATATTTCCCAGAGACATGGATCTATTCTCTTCCTTTGTCATCCTGTCTAGTGTTGGCCTGGTGGGTTACCAATTGAGTTGCTAACTGCAAGGTCAGCAGTTTGAAACCACCCGTTGCTCTGCAGGACAAAGAGAAGCTTTCTACTCCCATAAGTATTTACAGTCTCAGGAACCTACAGGAGCAATTCTACCCTGTTCTATAGGGTTGCTATGAGTTAGTATTGATTCGACAGAACTGAGTTAGTGTTACACAGCTCTGATAACGTAGCGAGTTTTGTGTGGGCCAGCTAACCACCAAGTCTGTGGATCAAGCTTCACAGTCACTAACAGGCGCAAACGAAGAGTCCTAGTCGGTAAAGATTTACAGCCTCAGAACCCCGGGGGAGGAGGGGCAGTCTGACTGTCTACAGGATTGCTATGAGTTAGAACTGACTTGGTGGCAGTGACTTTAGAGGGCTTTTGTTTGTCTGTTTTGAGTTTTCTAGATTCCCTTATTTTGGCAACAGCATTTTCTCACCATTCCGACTAGATATGCTGAAGTCAACTTGGCATCTTAGCATCTGCATCCTTCCTCATTTCATGCCTTAGAATTAAAGGAAAATCTTGTGAAGTATCTGCTCTTCTCATTTATCAACTTTATTCTGCCAGATATTAGTTGTTTATACATCTATCAGTCTATTGGACTGTAAACTTTTTACACTGAGAAATAGGTATGTACCCTAAAACAGAGTAATGGCAATAATTACAATTTACCGAGAGACTATAACTGCTAGGCGATTTATATTTGATTTTTTATCCATGACCCTGTAAATGTCCCATTTATCCCACCTACCCCAGCCATTGATGTCGAGTCCAGTCACCTTCACCTGCCAGTGACAATTTGAAGGAGTCCTTGCCTGTCTGTCTGGATTACGTCTCACTCTTGCCCTGAAGCTCTGTGACCCACTGGTTGGTGCCTACAGGAATTCTCTCTGCCCTCAACTCCTTGCCAGTGAGTTGATGCCGACTCACAGCAACCCATAGTACGGCTATAGGACAGAGGGGAACTGCCCCTGTGAGTGTCCCGGGCTATAACTATGGAAACAGAAAGCCAGCTTCTCCTGAGGAGAGACTGGTATTTTCGAACTGCTGACCTTGCCTTTAGCGGTCCAGCGCTTGTCAAGTTTGAAGTGTGGAAGAGTGACAGCTTGCGGGATCACCTTGAACAACAATGGGAGCTTAGGTTTCTCTTTTCATCTTCTCATTAAATTGTTCTGGGTCTCAATTCCTAAGACTCTTCCAAAGAGCCGGGCAGCCTTGAGTACCAGTGGTCTACATGGGGACCAACCCCAAACTGCACACGTAGTGCCATTGAGTCATCCGGACTCATGGTGACCCCTTAGGAGGTGAGTAGAACCGCCTGGGTGGGTTTTTGAGACTCTAAATCTCTTACAGAAGTAGAAAGCCTCATCCTTCTACCACGGATTGGCTGGGTGTTTCGAACTGCTCATCTCTGCAGTTAGCAGGTGGTGTGTAATCCACTACGCCACGGGGGCCCCCCTATTCCTAGTACTGGCTATTCCTTCTTTCATTCTGCACTCCCACTTCTCTGTTCCCCAGGATCACATTCACAAATAAGCTAAAAGCGCGTGAGCTTTCGTCTAAGGCTGTGCCACTGGGGTCGCCCAGCGGGGGACGTCTCTAAAATGGACATTAGTGTTGTAGTTCCATTTCAGATGGGCCCTAAGTCCTGAGTGAGTTCCTGACTTATTCAAAATCCATCGAGGTAGGGCCGCTAGGATTCAAACTGCATCCCTGCTCTCCCGGGGTCACAGCAGTGCACACACAGCAGAAGCTCCCTGCCCCTGGTCAGAGACAGCGAGGGAAGGCAAGAAGAGGAGCCAGGACACAAGCACGTGTTTGACGCCAAACATGCTGCAAACTCAACGCCAAGTGCTTTATTTTCTTAAATGATGCAGAACGGGCTGTTGGTCATTAGAGGACAGTCTTGGTTTGTGAGCTAGATGGATGCACATTACGTGTCTTCCTTTGCTTACATTCTAAAAATACCAATTTACGAAAGAATGAGAGGGTGACAAATGCCCTAAGTTTCCTGTTTACAAAGGTCTTCGTGGAAACCAGTGTATAATACATCCTGT